GGGGGGGGGGGGGGGGGAGGGGGGGGGGGGGGGGGAGGGGGAGGAGGTGGGGGAGGGGGAGGGACACCACCAGCACCAGGGAGAGGTGGGGCTGGGGGAAGCTTACTGGTAGTGCCTGGAAGAAGAGGTGGAGGTGGTATGCAGGGCTGAGGAGGTATCTGGCTAGCTGGAAGGGAGGCTGGATCTGATGACTTTATTACAGTTGATGTCATGGGCTCAGACATTTCTGTCTGTATACCTCTATCAACAGCCTTTTTACCAGCATTTTGTCTCATCAACTGATCTTTTCCTAATTTCTTAACTACTACAAGTCTTTCCATAATAGGGCCAACATCGTTTTCTTCATTTGCTATAAAGAAAGAAAAATGAACTGGATTAACATTTAACCATGTTGCAATTATGTTGTGAAACCATTTCAGGATTGGTCAATCATTTAAAATTTTACATTTAAAATAACTTGATTTTTAAAAATAAAGTTTCTCTTTCACTTCCTAAAGGCATTGACTCACAGTAGGATTTAAATTCACAAAGGTCAGCTGCTCTCTGTTACTACATCCATGTGGTAAGTTGCCATGTATGAATATAGGAACAGAATAGCTGACTAAGTGCTGTCCAAGGGGAGAGTGATTATGGTCATCAGGAGTAGGAAGAACCTGCTAGTTTCCTCCTCTCCCTAGACCAGGATCAGGAAAGTTGCTGGCGCTGCTCTAATCGTTACTAAAGAAAAGATCAATTCTTACAAAGAATCAAAATCAGAACTATCCTGACTGGAAAATTTAGTAGCACTCGGGGTGCTGCATTTAACCATTTTGTCATGGGGACAGCGCTATGTGTTATGTCAAACAGAAATCTGCACACCATGGAAGGAAGCCAGTTAGCCCACTGTGTCAAAGGCATTTGACAAAGAGTTACCCACTTCAATTTCATCTTCTACCTTGATCTGCAGTGCACATCCAAGAGTTTTCTTAAAATATGATGAAGGTTTCTTTCTCCACAACACATTCAACAGAATGGGTTCTAATTCTTTATGACTCTTTAGGCAAAGTAATTACTCCTCAAATCCCTTTGAGTTCTTCTACCAATTACTTCAAATTAATCTTCCTTGGTTATCATTAATCTCTCTGCAAAGTGATATATGTCCCACTTAGCCACTCTAACTGGGGACAGTTAAAATCAAGCTTAGATCTTTCCCCCTCACCCCTTCATTGTGATCATTTAAATGTGTAAGAATTAAATATTTTTTCAAATACTGTGGAAAAAAAATACTCCCTTACTGTCATCAGCGATTAGAATGGCTCTATTCACCAAGATTTCCAATGCTTCCCAGAGCAGGGCACTGTTAGATGGTTCAAGCTGCAGAAGCCCCTGCAGAATTGACAGCAGCTGAGTAGACACTGGTGAGGTGCTCACCTGGAATTAAACATTAAATAAAATCATAGAAAGTAAGCAGCAAGGAAAAGCATTTCAACACATTGTGCTATACCAGAAATACCTATGCACATTCCAATTTTGTGTTCTTAAAGTTGTGCTTGATTGGTCTTCATATACTTACGTGTCATTACACATTCCATTGGAGACAATCTTTCACTTTTCATCCACTTAAAGCTATTCATGATTTTGATTTTGATTACACTTTCACTTAAATTTCTGCTGCTCTAGTGAATACAACTATGGTATTGTTAATGTTTTCATGAGAAATTAATCTTTTCATCATTGGTCTTGTCCTAGTAGAATCAACCATTGCTTCATGGTTGCTTCCAGCTACAATCTCACTTTAAATACAACAAACCTTTTATTATCCGGCATTTATGGAACCAGGAGTGTGCTGGTTGATCAAACATTCGGGATAATCAAGAGGTGCACACAATGTAAAAACACACACTAAGTAATAGAAACGCAATGCAGGGAGTGTACACATCACGGTTATACATTAGTTACAGCATAAATGACTTAAATAATAGTGCAACTTTGCCTTTAATAAAACTTACTGGAAAACAGCCTTTTCAATTCCACCCTCAATTGACAACTCAGACATCACAGTAGATCATAGTATTTGAGGAGAAATTGATGCGAAATTGAATCAACTATCGGTGTTTTACGCAGCCATCCAATTGAACAACAAGCATATTTACACTGAGGTAAATAAACAAAAAACTATAATAATTGGACAGAATAATTCCGTAAATTTTGTGGTATGAGGTATATAATTTCTGCCAGAGTGCTAGCTCATAAAGGTGCCAGTTAAAACAAAGTTTGCTCTTATATTCATGTCTACACCCCAAGATCACTTTTTCTTTTGGCCAATCAGAACCCTCTCATTTAAGGGAAGGTTGTTTCTATAAGGCTCAAAGGTAAAATAAAGCTCGCAAACCCTGGACTCTATTGTTCAGGTTTACCAGCAGCTCTGATAACCAGTGCATTTGTAGTTCTTACTAATTCATTCTTCCTATTTGAGTGAGTGTTATAGACAATTACTCTTTTAATTACTCTTGCTTCACTGATACACCATAAATCAGATCCATTAGCATCAGCAACATCAGCCACAGAGAATATTTTGGAAATGTGGAATTAAATTGCAAGTGAGCCCCAAGGCTATATGGTACACATCTGTTTAGCCTTAAAAAGAAAAGACTTGTGGATTCCATGTTTAAAAGTACATGTTTACCCATTTCTCTTCTCAGATCAAAGTGGTATATTTATTTTTAAACTCCAGTAGTAGCAACCAGAACCAGGAATGCAGAATAAAAGTAAGAGACCTTCAGTTCAATGGAGAGACGAAGAAAACTTCTTTTCTCAGAGGGTCATTAGCTTGTGGTATTCTAGCAGACTCAAGGCCTGATCCCATCCGTAATTCATATTTTTGTACATAGTACAGAGTAATCAGCGCGACCATAAATTTGAGAAAGTCAGAAATCACATGACACCAGTTGTCCACCCCAATCCAACACCGGCACCTCCACATCATAAATTTGAGAAGCTGCTTCATAACTCCATAGAAGTACGCTTTTAATTTGTAAAGGTGATATATATCAGCAGGCAAATGTTTCACTAAATGGCTATATTAGACGATCCGCAGAACAATGAAGAATTATAGTACAATCACTCCAATTTTGTTGGGAGGTAATAAATAGTTGATTGTCATTGATGCTATTTCACAGTTCTCAACAATAAGCTACAAATGAAAATAAAAAGATGTACATGCTGGCTTGTGTATTCAAAACTAGGGATCACAGTTTTAAGGATACAGGGTAGGACCAGTTAGGACAGAGATGAGGAGAAGTTTCTATATCCAGAGACTGGTAAGCCTGTGGAATTCACTGTCAGAGAAAGAGGTTGAGGCCCAAATACAGAATGTTTTTCAGAAGGAGTCAGTTATAGTTCTTAGGGCTAAATGGATCAAAGGAAATGGTGTGAAAGCAAGAACAGGGTACAGAGTTGGATGACTAGCCATGATTACATTGCATGGTGAAGTAGACTCAAAGGGTCAAATGTTCTATGCATATCCGATTTTCTCTGTTTCCATGCTTAACTTCACATAGTGCTGTATCCTGTAACTCATGACACCAGTCTCTAAGGATTATAACATGATATTCAGAAATGGATGGTGAGTGGCAGCTGTAACTAGTAGGACGAGTGCCAAAAAGTGCCAGGAAATGACCATTCCAACGAGAGAATCTAACCATCACCCCTTGATCTTCAGTGACATTAGCATCACTGAATTCCCCGCTTTCAATACCTTGTTGGTTACCATTGCCCAAAAATTGAACTGGACTAGCCATATAAATACATTGGCTACCAGCGCTGGTCAGATGTTAGGAATCCTGCAGTAAGTAACTTGCATCCTGACTCCCCAAAGCTTGTCCACCATCTACAAGGCTGAATGGCCTACTCCAGCTTCTATGTTCCCAAGTCAGTAGTGTGAAGGAATACTCTCCACTTGCCTGGATGAGTGCAGCTCCAACAACACTCAAGGAGCTTGACACCATCCAGGATATCCACCAACATTCACTCCATTCACCAATGATGTTCAGTAGCAGCAATTTGTACCATCTACAAGCAAAGTTCCTTAGACTGCATCTTCCAATCCCACAACCAGTATCATCTTGAAAGTCAAGAGCGGCAGGCCACTCACCATCCTAAATTGGAAATACCTCTAACGATCCTTCAATCATGCTGAGTCAAAATCCTGGAACTCCCTCCCTAACAGCATTGTCAGTTTACCTACAGCAAATGGGTTGTAGCTTTCAAGAAGTTAGCTTGCCACCATTTTCTCCAGGGCACCTACAGAAAGATAATAAATGCTGGCCTGGCCAGCAATGCCCACATCCCATGAATGAACAGGAACGGGGGACCGGGATCCTAACTTTTTTTAAAATAAATAAAGTGGTATCACCTTATGCCACTTTATAATTAGGAACATAAACAGGAGTTGCTGGAAAAAGCTCAGCAGGTCTGGCAGTATCTGTGAAGAAAGAATCAGAGTTAACGTTTAGGGTCCAGTAGCCCTTCCTCAGAACTGGGTCACCGGACCCTAAACGTTAACTCTGATTCTTTCTTCACAGATGCTGCCAGACCTGC